TCTCTCTCTCTCTCTCTCTCTCTCTCTCTCTCTCTGTGTGTGTGTGTGTGTGTGTGTGTGTGTGAAGAGAAAATGATGTTTCGGTTTTTCTCTTGATGCTGGGCACATGGAAACAATACTTTGAATTTGTCTGGTGGTGGTATGCTGGAAACTGGTGACTAAATATTTCTATGACTTTTGTTTGGGGAATGCAACTGGTCTGCATAAAAAGCTGTAAGTGGCTAAAGTGATTCCTGCAGCGTTTGCTGTTCTCTGGGTGTATTTTTGAGAATTTATGATGTCGACTGAGGTGCTGTCTTGTTTCAGGTCTTTCTACCACTTGCTGCACGAGGCCTTCCTTTCAGGAATTAGTTGAAGCACTGCTAAGCAGTGCCTCCCAGTCTTATTTTTTCTTTGATTTGCTCAATCCAACAGAGCCCTAATAAGCAAAGCTTTTTTTTTATTTGAAAATGTGTTGTTAGGTACTGGTCTAGATAGACCATCAGACATTCTGCATTGAATCCATACTTTTCTATTAAATCCTTGTGTTTAATAGTAAGGATTCTATGTTGATAATTTAAAAAATACATTAAATATGGTTCTTTGAGGATTGCATCATGGTGGCTGTTTGCAAGGTGAATAATAGAAATATATGTGTCTGTTGGCAAAAGTGGCAGAGACTTTGCATGCTGTTGGCTAAGCAACTATTCATTGGGATGTTTCCAATAGAATGTGAGCACTGGAAAGGGTCAGATCACAGTCTGCACCCCTACTGTGCAGACTGGAACAACCACAGGAGAGCTAGAACTCAACTAACTGGCCTGAGTCACCCAGGGAAAGTTGCTGAGGGTCAGCAAACCATTTCATTTTGAGATCCACCAGGGGGCACATACAGTGGTTGTAACAACTGAGACCTAAGACTAGTTCAGAGTAGAACAATGACAGGAAAGTGACTGGAGAAATAACAGGGGACCAGGGAAGGAATGAGGGAAGGAAAGATGAGAATGGAAGGGGACTATGCAGAGGCACCATTCCAATGCAGCCTTTGACTACATCATATTTAGCACAAGAGCTTAAAATAGCTTTGACTAATTAGAACAGTCAGGATAAGAACTTTTTTCCTGCCTTTTAAAATGTTTTAAATGAGATATAAGTCATAATGGCATTCACTTCCCACATGTAGGTCTATAGTTCAGTGACACAGAGTTGTGCCTGTGTTGCCGAAGATCACAACATTTTTATGATCTCCCCTCTCCTTTGAATACATAAAGAGGGACAGGCATTGGGAATGTGATAGGCAGTTGCTTCCTAATGTATGTCCCTTGAATATTCAGGGGGCTGGATGGCAACTTAGAAATGCTCATACATTGAGACCTTTTTTGTATATGTGTTTGCTTAGTGTGGATTAATGAGGTATAAGAACTGGGTCTTTCTATTTGAGCTTTATATTGTGCCTAGCATGGGTGTTTTCCTAAGTGTTTTCATGATGGAGTTTTGGAACTATTAAATAGAAATATTTAACCATGACAAGATACCACAGTGAAAGATGTTGCTCCAAACTGTAGTGAATACTAAAATCCTACCTGTTAGCTAAAAATATCAACATGGAAAATTTAAACAGCTGCCACTGTTTTAAAATGGATAATATGTTTCATTGACTTATGGAATTGCAGCACCATGTTGAAGGTGGGCTTGGCATTATAACATTTTGAGGTCGCCTACATTTTCCCCCTAGTTACTCTGTTTCAGCCTTTGCTTAAACTGAGCTACTGTTTTTCTCTGGAAAGACCTTTTGTTTTTAGAGTAGAAACCTGATGTCCAAATCAAGAAGTGAGCCAGAAATTGATCACTTAAAGTAGGCCCAACTGGAGACTGATTCTTTGTGAACAGCTTTTTTCCTACTAGAATGTAAATCCACACAGGGTAGGAGTATGCTAGTGAGATAATGACTTTTTCCATTTTAAGGTGCTTAATGGGCTCACCACAGAAACCCTTCGACATAAGGCCTGGAAGAGCTAGGGGTCAGGACTGATAACAACTCAAACATTTCAAAGGGTTATTTTTCTTACAACATTTTCCCAAATTTGGGAATGAAGGATGTAAACATTGCTGCCCTATCAGTATGATCTCTCATGAGAGCAGAGATAGAACTACATCAAGGCAAAGAAAGTTTTGAAACTCCTACTGCATTCCTAAAGCAAGGCTAATGCAAGGACAAAGATAGATCCTCAGTAGTGAAAAGGTAGGAAGGACCCAAATGTCCATCAGGCAAAGAAAATGCACTCTCAACATAGACCGGGTTTTTATTCCAGCATGAAACAGAATAAAGAACTGATTCTCACAACATGGATGAACCTTAAAAACATTAAGTAAAAGAAGCCAGGCATACCTTTAATCCCACCAGCAATTGGGAGGAAGAGGCAGGAAGGTATATATGAGTCCCGGGCCAGCATGGTCTACATAGTGAGGTCCAGAACAGCCAGGGCTACATAGTGAGACCCTGTCTCAAAAACCAAACAAAACCAAAAATGAAACCAGGCACTAAAGGCCACATATTGCATGATTTTATTTACATAAATTGACCATAAGTGGCAAATTAGTGGAAGCAAAAGACCTAGGGCTGTGGTGAGGGGAGGAATGGGCAATTTTCTCTATCTGTCTCCTTTTAATACACAGAAAGGGGCAAGCTTTGGGAAGATGATAGTTTTAAGATACTGCTTCCCAATGTATATCTCTAGCACAAGTAGGGGTTGGATGTCATCTAATCTGTGGGCTTGGCACATAGATTGCTAAATTGTTTTATTTAGTATCACTATGATACCTTTTGCTTGTTTGTTTGTTTGAGACAGTGTTTCTCTGTGTTGTGCTGGCTGTCCTTGAACTTGCTCTGTAGACCAGGCAGAGATCCTCCTGCCTCTGCTCCCAGTTCTGGGATTAAAGGTGTACACCACTATCACCAGGCTGTACTTTTGTTTTGTTTTGTTTTTGAGATACCATTTTATT